TTACGTTATACTTAGTAGTTACTATTAGTACTAGTACTAGTAGTAGTAGTACGTAGTAGTAGAAGAGAGAGAGAGTAGAGAGAGAGAGAGAGAGAGAGAGAAGGGGTGATAATCATTCTATCATTCCTTCCTAGCTGGAACACTTGTATAAAAAAAATTCTTCTCGTCATTCACTTGTAAAGGCATGACAGCTGCTTGATTCTTCCCCTTTACTTTGCAGTTTTCATTCTCCAAAGTGACTAATGATTTTTGTGTTAAGTATCATTGTGAATTCATATGAGTTCTAGTTGGTGAGACTGGGATACTTCATCCATATTCCTAATATGGTATGCAATTTAGGTTTATATGTCGAGGGTAAGACTTAGCCAGTTGCATGTTATGCCCTTGCAGCAAAAAGGAATATGATTTAAATTATCTTGGGTCAATGCTTTTTTCAGTCTATTCTCAGTTCTCCACCTATAAAACAAGGAGGGTAGGCTACGTTTTAGAATGCTCTACAAAGCCTACCAGTCACGTCTCCAAGTCTTCTACCACTGATTAAGGTGGAGCAGATTTGCTCTTATCTGTTTAATTTTAATCTTCTACATACGATTTTCTTTAGAGAAAGAACTTAGTAACTAAAAGAAACTTGAAAACATTGGACAAAATCATCTCCTGCATCTCCTCTGGTATTAATATTCATGATGAAATGATTCCTTTAAGCTCCTAAACTCTAAATATTTTAATAACAAATCTGTTCATCTAAATATGAACGTAAGAAAATTCATATAACAATGTGGGCTTGATTTACTGTTAGAAATATATTCAAACAGAACTAATGTTTTTACCTCGTGAAAACGCCATCCACAATTCCAATTGTTGCTTCCTCTGCAGGAACATAGGAGCCAATCTGAGCCATGATAATAATCAATGCAACTTGTTTTATGTATAAGCTCTTTCCACCCATGTTGGGTCCAGTAATTATCATTACTCTCTCTGAGTTCCCCTAGAAAATTAAAAGGCAATTTCATTTATTGTACCAGACGGATTTCTATGTAATATCTACAACTTATTTCTTAAATGGGAATGTATTAGGCAAAAGATTGCACTGTGGTATGTCACCCATTAAGTATCACAAAGGGAAAGAGGACCTCTTTGTCTTCAACTTGAACTGTGCTATCACAGAACAGTGAAGTCTTAGCAGCACACATGGTTGTTTCTGGGTAGAAAAAAGGAAATAACAAGAAGCAACCTAAACGAGAGAACTACTCTGGCTTTCTCCTTAAATAATCATTAACCTGCCTATGTGTGTTTTGTAGATTATTTACATTTAGAATCTATCAATTTCCACTTGTCCATCTTAAAATTACAGGTATTATATATCTAATTGCTAAAGGCTCTAATTTGGGTTGGTAGCACATGAAAAAAATTAGGATAAAAATATTTACAAGAAAAAATGCATTTATAAAAAAATACAAAGAGAAGACAAAGGACATATGCCAAAATGTTCACAGTGGTTGTCTTTGGGATTAAAGAGCAATTTTTCTCTTCTTTCTCCCATTCTTTATATCACAAACTTCAAACCATAATTTATTTGTGAATGGGTTCTGCAGCAATGAGTGAGCCATTTCCTAAATACCCACTATGTTGGACTACACAAAAAGAGTTTGGAGTAATTTTCACTGTGATATTAATTTCTATGAGAACCATGGCAAACAAAGAAATGACCTTGTAGAAAAAGAAGAGAATAAATATGAACAAAGAATTGGCCCCTAAATCAGGAAAGGTAATTTGGACTTTCTAGTTCTCTAAGGTCTCATTTTCCTTGCTCCTAAAATGCGGGAGTTGAATTAAACAATCTCTCACCCTCGAATTCTGTGATTCTCTGAAATAAAATCTATACAAATTCAGGCCTATACCATGGATCTGAAGCCCAGGTGGAATCAAAGGGCAGGAACTAAATTAGCCTAGAGGTTTGCTCCAGATTTTCTTGGACAAGGGGAGGCTGTGGAATTGACCTGTAAGACATATCTGGGTAAGTGGTTCAGTGGTCACACTGTCGAAGTGGATCTTCCAAGCCTATTCAAGATTTTAAGATTTCAGACAAGAACTAACTTTGAGCCTTTAAAGCATGAAATGCTTTTGGTCACTACACTCAAGTATCTATAGGTGACCAAAACGGTGCTTTCCTAAAAGCCCTAATGTTTAGACCTCCAATGAGAGATATATTTCCAGTAAATACAAACAAGAAAAAAGATACACACTGAAGAATCAGGAGGTATTCTGAGGTGCATACATACCTCCAGTCTCCACCTCCACTGCTCCACCCTGGTGGGCCACTGCAGTGGACCCTGAATGGTCTTCCTGCTTAGCTGCCCATAGTCTATTCTCCACAAGGCAGCCAGAGTGATTGTCTCAAAAACTAAAACACAACCTGTCTCCTGCCAAAAGCCCACATATAACTGCCCAGGGCACTCATAATAAAGCCCCAACTCCTCACCATAGTCTGAAGGCCATGCCTGCCTCTCTGGTAATCTCCTCCCACCTTCCCCATGTTCAGTCAGAGCCAGCTGGACTGGATCCTGCTCTTCTTCCACCTGCCAGAAGATGTCAAGCTCACTCCAGCCTCAAGGCCTTTTCACAGCTGTTCCCTCCACCCGCGATGCTCTTCCCCGAGACTGGATCCTTTCTTATTTCAGTCTAAGCTCAAATGTGGACTCTCAGGAGACACCTTTCCTGACCACCCAATCTACTTAAGCCCCTTTGTCCTGTCATTCTCTATCACGTCAGTCCATTTTGGTTTTTGCATACTTTTTATCCCTCTCCAAAATTTCCTTAATTTTCCTGCTAACTTGATTATTACCAACCTCACTATTAGAACGCAAGTTCCCATAAGGGCAGGCTCTATAGCATCTTGCTCATCCTCACTGCCTAGCACAAGGCCTGGCATAAAGAAGGCACTCAGTAAATACTGCTCAAAAAGATTAATTTTAATATGCAAAGATATCACAGTGGGGATGTTCATCAACCTTTCATTTCAAGAAGTCATTTGCATTCTCTATAAAATTAGTCAGGAATTTGAGACATCCTTTCTTCAATAGTTCCCAAAATGATATAGCCAAGATGACATAATAAGTACAAACGTGATTAAGGAATTTCACATATTTAGTGTGCTCATCTATCTTTTAGCAAGGATCACATGTATTTGAGGCACCATATATCAAAGGGTCCCAGATATGAAAAATACATTGAATCTATGTGGAAGACCAGTTTGGATATGTAAGCATTCTAACAAAAGAGCCAGAAGCCAAAAGTTGGCAAAAACCTCCTCTTTACTCACTCTAGAGTTTACTGAAGTTACTGAGAATGCATCCAACTGGACTAGCCTAGACAGTGCCCAGCTGTGCTAGGCATCTAGCTAGATGCCATGTACAGAACAAGTTCTCAAGAAACCACACACAGATGGATGGATGGGTAGACAGATGAATGACAGTGAACAAAAGCTGAAGTACTGCACCAAGAGGACTGTTTCTGAATGGCACCTACTATCTTGATGAGCCTCTGGAGAGGCTATAAGTTCATTCTTTAAAGTTTTTACCTTTGTACAGTGATGTCTGTCTGGATAGCATCAATCAGTAAGATCTTAGTATTGTGTAGCAAGAGTCAAAACACTGACTCTGAATAAGTAAGTTTTAAATAGCTAATCAAGGTCCACATTTAATGCCATATTCTGTGGGAGAAAAAGAGAAGTGGAGATAAAAAGAATAAAAGGTAAATTTTAAGGTATCATAAGAAAATTACAGATAACAAGTGCCAGGCACTGTGCCTAAGACTTGACATGCATCATCTCATTTAGTTCTCACAACAGTCTCATGGGGTAATACTAGTACAACTGTATTCCCATGTCACAGGTGAGGAAAGAGAGGCTTGGAGAAGCTATCTTGCCCACTAAGGCAGAGCTACTAAGCAGCAGAACTGGGCATGGTAAAAGAAGACCATCCTCTGACAGATGTCTCAAAAAGGATCCCTGCTCAATGATAAGAAATCATAGTCACTGCTAAATAGGAGAATAGCTCAGGGCCAGCATCCTTGGGTCCCTCCCTGGGTAAATGACAATGATGATCAGTCAGAATATCCCTGAAGTCAGGAGATGCACAGCAGGAAATAAGTGAAACAATTAAAATCATTTAATGTTAATTTCCAAGACCTGAGTATCAGCTAATTTTCTGCAAAAACTGCCTTCTTCCTTGACAGGTACAGATATTGACATCTATCCTTTAAAAAGAATCATGGTAGAACTATTTTTATAATAGCTGCAGACTGCTGAAAATGTCTGGCAGTTTCCAAGTGTTTTCCTTGAAAATGTCAATCAATGGCAGGTTATAGTAAGAGACTCCTTAGTGAAAGCTTCATCCAGACAAGTTCTCAGCCAAATTCTTGCACTTTTAATCCAAAGTGAACTCAAAAAATATATATTTTAAAAAAATAGGAGAATGAGGTGGAGAGAAGTACAGGCTGTATGTTGAGACACCAAGATAAAGGTCCAAACCCTTCTGACATCTGGATGCTTCCCAATTTACATTCCGAGAGCTAGCTGTTACACAGCCCAACCCCTTCATTTTACAGATGATGAAATCAAGGCCCAGAGTACGGTGGCCTATCTAAAATGACAGTAAACTAACAGTAGAGCAGGATTTGAATTTACATCTTTCATTACTATTAGGCACTTTCCCACTACACTTGTGTAACAAAAAGTAGTACGTGACAAAAATTTTTCAAAAGGAACAAAGAAAGCGCTAGAATAGAAAGATATTTTTTCTGGCCAGAGTGATGGGGAAGGCTCTAAGGAGGCAGCAGCATCTTTTGGGTCCTGAAGAATGAGTAGTTTGATCAGTAGAGATGGGTAAGGAATAGGAAAAGAGAAGAGAAACTTTCTGCACAGGTCAGAACACTTTAAAAAGTTACCGGTTATCATACAAAATGTCCTTTATCTCAGCGTTTCAGAAGCAGAAAGGAGAACTGGAAGAGACTAGTGACAGAAAATAATATTCAAATGTCATTAATATTTCCTCTGATCTTTAACAATATGATCTGATTAACATGCTATACAAAAACACATTTACTGATTCTCACTGAAAATGAACTAGAGACAGGCAGAAAGACTCTTGTACAGGCAAAGCTGTTAGAAAGATCTGCAAAGAACAGGGTAGGAAGGGAAGAGAAGCAATCAGGTCAGGACCTGTGCCCCTGGGAGGGGACACAAGAGGAGAGAGATCCTCCCTGGGGAGTGAGTGATTCAAGCCACACACTGGGCACCCCAGTCCTGGGGTCCAACACTGGGTGCCCTTAGCTGGTTAGAAAGCCAGCGCCACTAACAGGAAGGCTGACAGAAACCTAGACTCTGCTTGTGAAGAGTGCACACACACCTGCTTACTCCTGAAACAAGGTGGAGAAAGCAAACTGAAACTTCACTCGACTCTGGTTGGTTTCTGGTGACCAGCACATGCCATAGTCTGAACCGAGTGCCAGCTCATGCCCCACTAGCTTTGCAAAGCAGCTCCACACTAAGGCGCAGGCCACTGTAGGTGAGGGGAATACTCAGTTGTGAGGGTAGGTGCCAGCCTGGACCCAGAATGGCATCTGAATGGGGTGGGGGCAGCCATTATTAGGGCTTATAGAAACAGCATTATCAGAAGTCATCCTGGGCTTTGACTAGCCAGGACCACCACAGTCCACACCCAGATTTAGGCCAAGGGCCCACAATGGCCCCATCTGCTCCACAGCACAGCTCCACACAGGCGGAGGGCTGCAGAGGCCAAGGGGAGTGCTCATTATGAGAGTCAAAGGCTGCTCAGACCAGGAACGGCATCTGAACTGGGCAAGGGCAGCCACTGCTGACACATACAGAACAAGTACATCAGAAGCGGTCTCAGGCTACGATTGCGGCTGAAGCCAACGCAGCCCTAATCCAGACTCTCTGGCTCCAGCCCTGCTTCCCTCTGCTGA